GAATCTCTCGGCCTCTCGCCGAGTGACACCTGTAGCAGGCCGTCGCCTATTACAGGGCGATACCTGTCACAGGTAACACGTGACTAGTCACGTGCCACCTGTGAGGGGCAAATGATTAGGGGATTTTGCTCCCACCAATCGGAATGCGCCACGTGGGCCAATCAGGTCCTGCCAAGTGTTTCCCAGTTGGACCTCTCAAGGCTTGCCACGTGGCACACGCTTATTCGTCCGCCTTGGACCTATTATGTCATGACACGTGGCATACTCCATGCCTAATGGAGAAGTCGGCCACCCAGGCCCAACTTCCGAGGGAAGCCCAATCAGCCCAAGGTTAACCTAAACCTAGATTGGCACGTTTCCCGAGGTTATAAATACCTCCCTTAATCCTCATTAAGGGAGATTACGCAGATTACACACATTAAACTCTCTCACCTAGAGAGACCCAATCACTTTAATTTCCGCATTAATTACTCCTTAATCAAGTACTAACTTGACCGTCGGAGGCGGATCTCCAGTCATCCGGAGCATCCGTTTGTTTTGCAGGTACAGGCGTCCGGTTCCAGTCTCGGAATTGTAACTCTCCCCGAAACATAATGCAATCAAACAAACCAAGACAAAATAATCACCTCGCAACCACACAAAGAGACTAAGTCCGCAAATCGACCAACCAAAGCTCAAACAAGGCCAATGGACACAACACAATCAAGTCAAGTTCTAAGTCTCCCACCTAAAACAAGCAAATCACCAAGCAACAAAGACCACTTCAATAATGCATCTACAACAATTTTGTATCGATTTCATGCAACATTATCAAACAAACCAACACAACAATCTACCTAAACAAGCATGTTCTTCCTTCATAAAAATCAATTTTTCAACCTCACTTACAAAAAATCCAATTCTTAAAACACACCAAAATTCATTCAAACTCAATAATGCTTTTCAATTATCAACTATCAATCACTCACAAACAATTCAAACAAACTTTCTCAAGCAAATTCATGCAAAAATTCAAGGAATAACATGAAATTAGTAAAAGGGAGGAACGATTATACCGAGCTTATCGTGGGTGTAAAACCCGCAAATGAACCTTTCTAACCTTCCACTTGCTTGCTTGCACTTACTCCTTCAACCAATTGTCTTGAACTTCAACTCCAAAGAAAACCCCCAAATTGATTTTTCAAGGTTAGGGTTTGAGTATTTTGGGTGATTTTTGGGTTTGAATGTGAGAAAGAAGTAGTAGATTGTGAAAAATGTTGAAATGGAGTGAATATTTTGGAGAAAATTGTTGAATTTGGGTGAGAATTTGGGTGAGAATGGAGAATTTAGTGGGTTTTGAAGGAGGAAGTTAGAATTTTAGAGAGAGGAGGAGTGAGAATCGTGAGATAGAGAGTGTGAGGGAGTGAATTTTTTTTTTTTTTTTATGTTATAACCGTGCTGCTTCCAGTCAATTTCGGGGCGGCACGGACGTGCAACAATTGGCACGGACGTGCAGAATCAGACAGAAGCTTGAATAAGACACTACTTGTTTGGCACGGACGTGCAAAATTCGGCACGGACGTGCGTAATTTGGCACGGACGTGCAGCCTCTGACAGAAACTTAGTTAACATACTGACTTGTTCAACATGGACGTGCAGGACTTGGCACGGACGTGCTTAGCCACCTTGCACGGACGTGCTTAATTTGGCACGTCCGTGCCAATCTGAAGAAATTTAATTCAAAGTTTCTAATTGCTTCTGACTGCCTCTGCACGGACGTGCGATACTCTGCACGTCCGTGCAGACCTGATGCTGCACGATCCTCTTTTTGTTTTTGAATAATAGTAATAGTAAGGCATAATAATAATAAAATTATTATCATTACCATTATTATTATTATTATTATTATTATTATTATTATTATTATTATTATTATTATTATTATTATTATTATTATTATTATTATTATTATTATTATTATTATTATTATCTACTACTTCACTTCCACAAAAACCTTTTCTTACTTTTCTTTTCATCAACACCTACAAAAGACATTTGAGAGAAAAGTTAGTAATAGTAAGAGTGATGGAAATTAAATAATAGTTTGTGAGAGAGAGAGAGAGTTGAGAAACTCGGGTTGCCTCCCGGAAGCGCTCTTTTAACGTCACTAGCTTGACGACATTGCGAGATCAATGAGAGTAGGGAACATCAAACTCATCAAGGTGAACAACCTTGGCTTCCTCATGCACAAAACCGTCAAAGTATGCCTTAAGCCTTTGGCCATTCACCTTGAACGGTTCACCATTGTTATTTGAGATTTCTATCGCTCCATATGGAAACACCTTCTTAATGGTGAAAGGTCCACTCCATCTTGACTTAAGCTTACCCGGAAACAACTTCAACCGGGAATTGAAAAGTAGGACCTTATCACCTTCCTTAAACTCCCTTTTGCTAATATGCTTGTCATGCCAAGCCTTGGTCTTTTCTTTGTAAATCCTTTCACTCTCATATGCATCCATTCTTAATTCTTCCAAGGCGTGGAGGTCAAGCAACCTCTTCTCACCGGCGCTTTGAAGGTCGAAGTTCAATGTTTTGATAGCCCAATGAGCCCGATGCTCAAGTTCTACCGGCAAGTGGCATGACTTCCCATAAACAAGCTTTTATAGTGTGGTGCCAATAGGTGTTTTGAACGCGGTGCGATAGGCCCATAGAGCATCATCAAGCTTTGTAGACCAATCTTTTCTAGACCTATCCACCGTTTTCTCAAGGATCATTTTTACCTCCCGGTTTGAAATTTCAGCTTGACCACTTGTTTTGGGGTGGTAAGCTAATGACACCTTGTGCCTCACACCATATTTCTCAAGGAGAGCTTGAAAGGATCGCTTTGCAAAGTGTGAACCTCCATAACTAATCACAGCCCGGGGCACTCCAAACCTTGGGAAAATTACTCTTTTGAAGAGCTTGACCACAACCTTAGCATCATTAGTAGGAGATGCAACCTCTTCCACCCACTTTGATACGTAATCGACGACCACTAGAATGAACTTGTTCCCAAAAGAGCTCGGGAAAGGCCCCATAAAATCAATGCCCCATACATCAAAAATTTCAAGTTCAAGGATGTTGTTCAAAGGCATTTCATTTCTTTTTGAAATATTACCGGTTCTTTGACACCGTTCACAAGCTTTCACCACGCCCCACACATCTTTTAACATTGTTGGCCAAAAGAAACCGCATTGCAATATTTTCGCCAAGGTCTTGATGGCACTCATATGTCCTCCACGAGGTGAGGAGTGACACATTGTGATAACATCTTCAATTTCATTATCCGGGACACACCTTCTAAAAAGGCCATCAACACCTTGTTTGAAGAGCAAGGGGTCGTCCCAAAAGTATTGGTGAACATCATGAAGAAACTTCCTTTTTTGTTGATAGGAGAGGTCGGGAGGGAGAATAGAGCAAGACAAGTAGTTTGCAATGTCCGCAAACCATGGTGTCGGTGCTTGGAGAATAGCAAATAGTTGATCATCCGGGAATGAATCGTCGATTGGCAAGTTATCAAGATCGCCTACAAGGATAGGCAACCGTGAAAGATGATCGGCCACCACATTTTCGGCACCCTTCTTGTCCCTAATCTCAATGTCATAGTCTTGTAAGAGCAAGACCCACCGTATCAATCTTGGCTTTGGTTCCTTCTTGGACAAGAGATACTTCAAGGCCGCATGGTCGGTGAAAACTATGACTTTAGATCCCAACAAGTATGACCTAAACTTCTCAATTGCATAAACAATGGCTAGAAACTCCTTTTCCGTGGTTGTGTAATTCCTTTGTGCATCATCCAAAGTTTTGCTAGTGTAGTAGATAGCATGGAGCTTCTTATCCTTCCTTTGTCCAAGAACGGACCCAATGGAAAAATCCGATGCATCACACATAAGCTCAAAAGGAAGCTCCCAATTAAGGGGTTGAATGATAGGAGCCGAAATCAATGGCTCCTTCAACCTATCAAATGCTAGAAAACAATCATTAGTAAACACAAAAGGGGCATCCTTTACCAACAATTGAGTGAGCAGCTTTGCGATTTTTGAAAAATCCTTTATGAACCGGCGATAAAAACCCGCATGTCCAAGAAAGCTCCTTATCCCCTTCACATTTGTAGGGGGTGGGAGGCGCTCAACGACCTCAATTTTGGCACGATCTACTTCAATGCCCCTACTAGAAATTACATGACCAAGAACAATTCCTTCCTCTACCATGAAATGACATTTTTCCTAATTCAAAACCAAGTTCACCTCTTGACATCTTTTTAATACTTCAATCAAATTTGAAAGGCAAATGTTAAAAGATGAACCAAAAACAGAAAAGTCATCCATGAATACTTCAATTGATGATTCAAGCATGTCGAAAAAAATAGACATCATACACTTTTGGAATGTGGAAGGTGCATTACAAAGTCCAAATGGCATCCTTCGATAAGCAAAGGTGCCAAAAGGGCATGTGAATGTAGTCTTCTCTTGATCCTCGGGTTGGATCGGGATTTGGAAGAATCCCGAGTATCCATCCAAGAAACAATAGTGACTATGTGATGCTAGTCTTTCCAATATTTGATCGATGAAGGGGAGTGGGAAGTGGTCTTTCCGGGTGGACTTATTCAATTTTCGATAATCAATACACATCCTCCACCCGGTGACCGACCTCGTAGAAATGGTCTCACCCTTATCATTCTTGATGATGGTCATGCCTCCTTTTTTAGGCACAACTTGAACCGGGCTAATCCACTTACTATCGGAGATAGGAAAGATTATGCCCGCTTCAAGAAGTTTTAAAACTTCTTTTTTCACAACTTCCTTCATGTTTGGGTTGAGCCTTATTTGGTGCTCAATCGAGGAAGTATGATCATCATCAAGTAAAATCTTATGCATGCATATAGTAGAACTTATCCCCTTAATGTCATCAATTTTGTACCCAATGATACCTCTATACTCCCTTAAAACAACTAGAAGTTTCCCAAGAGAGGTATCATCAAGTTAATCATTGACAATAACGGGATAACTCTCACTATCATCAAGAAAAGCATATTTAAGTAAAGGAGGAAGGGGTTTAAGTTCAACCTTGTGAGGAGGCATAGTTCTCTCCTCTTTTAACTCCACATTAAGCACTTCCACTTTCTTTTCGTTGTAGACTAAAGGTTGGTTGAGCAAAAGATCATACCCCCTCGTTTCTTCACCTTCCTCAACTAAGCCTCCCGTTAGGATAGCTTGTAAAGGATCTCCTTCAAACAAATTTTCTTGGGACTTCTCTAAGTCCCTTTCCAATGTATCAACTCTATGAACTTCATCATACAATGGATTTTTCAATGTTTGTGGAAATGAGAATGATATTTTCTCATCTCCCACATTCAAGGTCAATCTTCCTTGCTTCATATCAATCACAACACCCGCGGTGTTCAAAAACGGTCTTCCCAAGATTAGGGGCACCGTAGTATCTTCTTCCATTTCCATTACCACAAAATCACATGGCACAAATACTCTTCCAACTTGAACCGGTACATCTTCAAGAATTCCCAAAGGTAGCCTAACCGTGCGGTCGTCCAATTGTAAGGACATCCTTGTTGGCTTCAAGTCTCCCACTTTCAAACTCTTAGCAATAGAATAGGGCATCAAACTCACACTTGCCCCAAGATCACATAAAGCATCCATAGCCTCTAAGTCTCCAATCTTCACCGGTATTGCATAGCTACCGGGGTCACCAAGCTTTTGAGGGAGCTTGTTTTGAATGATTGCACTCACCTCCTTAGGAAGGGAGATGGTTGCACTCTCTTCAAGCCTACTCTTGTTGGATAAAAGATCCTTCAAAAAAATTTCATATGTAGGCATTTGTGACATAGCATGAAGAAAGGGGATATTCACTTGAAGTCCTCTCATGACTTCAAGAAAGTTTGAAAACTTTTCATTCAATTCTTTTCAACAATCCTATGAGGGAATGGAATGGGAGGCTTGTATACTTTCATGGGGGGCTTTTCTACCTTTTCCTCATCTCCCTCATTTCTTACTTTGTGGCTCCTTTCTCTCAACATCAACTATCTCATTTTCAAACTCATCCTCATTTGTCACCACAACTCCCTCATCTCTCTTTTGTGGCTCCTCTTCACTCATAACCGGCCCTTCATAACCTCTCCCCGATCTCAAAGTAATGGCCTTAGCTTGCTCTTTTAGGTTCACAACCGTTGAGCTTGGGAAGTGACCACTAGGATTGGAGGATGAACTTCCAACTTGTTGCGCAATTTGAGCCAATTGATTCTCAATTATCTTGTTGTGTGCTTGAAGTTGTTGGATGTTCTCTTGCATATCCGCATTGCTTCTTCCTTGTTGTGTAATGAAGGTTTCAAGTGCGGCTTCAAGGCTAGATTTTTGAGGAGGTGGAGGAGCGGGTTGGTTATATTGTTGCCTTTGTTGGTTTTGGTCCCTTTGGTTAGGGTGACGGTAAGGATCTTGTTGGTTTTGTGGATGAGACTGATTGTATTGGTTTTGAGGGGGGCCTTGATTTTGTTGTTTCCAACCCGTGTTTTTTTGGGGTTTCCAACCTTGATTGTAGGGTTGAGAGTATTGATCGTTTCTTTGCCCGATAGCCGCAGCTTGTTCTTGGTTAGTTAAGTTGCAGTAGGAGGACAAGTGATCATTTCCTCCACAAGTTTCACAAGACATGACTTGTTGTGAAGAAGAGCTTGGAGATGTAAGGGTGGCTTGATCTAGCTTGTGAGCTAGCATGTCAAACTTTTATGCAATAAGGTCTATTTCACTAAGGTCGTGGATTCCGCCCTTCTTTGCTTGAGGTTGCCGTCTATCACCTCCGTAAGCATAGTGCTTTGCCACTTCTTCAATCATCTTGTATGCATCATCCACCGATAGCTTTTTAAGGCTACCACCGGCCCCGTTATCAAGGTTGGCCCTTGAAGTAGGAGTAAGACCATCATAAAAGCTTTGAACAATGATCCATGATGTGAAACCATAGTGTGGGCATTTTCTAGTGTAGTCCTTGAAATGCTCCCAAGCTTCATTTAAGGTTTCATCAATCTCTTGGTTGAAATTAGTGATTTTCCTTCTTAGTTCGGCGGTCTTTTCGAGTGGACAATACTTTCCAAGGAAAGCTCTAGTAACTTCATCCCATGTGGTCAATGATCCCTCTTCTACCGTTCTCAACCAATGCTTTGCTTTGTCACGGAGGGAGAATTGAAACATGTGCATACGGATGAACTCTTCCGTAATGTTGTTTTGCTTGATGGTTGTGCACAATTCGAGAAAGTTGTCCAAATGAGCAAAAGGACACTCATGAGAACTCCCACCAAATTGATCACTTTGTATCATATGGATGAGTTGAGGTGAAAGTTCAAAATTATTTGCATTCGTAGTAGGGAGACGTATGCCACTCCGAAGTGTGAAGGCATTGGGGTGGTCATAATCCCGTAACAATGGTGGAGGAGGATCTTTATCACCCATGTTATCTTCTTCGTTGGCTGCAAAGATTTCCTCCGGATCGGAATCCGAATATACAATAGAGAACTCGGGTGTACCTTGCAAAAGCCTCCTCACGTTTCTCAAAGTCCTATTTAACTCTGGATCAACGGGAATAAGCGGTGATTGCTTACTCTTCCGTGTCATGCAAGGTCAAACAAAGCTAAGAAAAACGTTAGCAATGACTATCACAAGTTGAAAACACAAATATACAAAAATAAATAGGAAAAATTATAATACAAATATACACACTTAGACTCATTCAACAATAACACATTCAATGTGACTTTGCCTCCCCGGCAACGGCGCCAAAATTTGATAGGTCGTCGTCGAGCCTACCAAAGATAAAGTCCTATCTTGGTCTCACTAGCTAATAGACAGGGTAAGAAAGGGTCGAACCCAAGAGAGGCGTTGAATCAACCACCGAAATACTACCGCATAAATAAGCTAAATGAAGTCGAAATTGGTTTGGTTTTATGTAACAAGTGCTAGTTCTAGTCAACTAAAGCTAGGGGGAGATTAACAATATTTAGAGAGTTCTAGGGCTTGGGATATACCACTCAATTTCGTCACAAATCACAATTAGCAAGTAGCAAACAATGGTAATTAAAGGGGATAATATAGGGGAAGTCATCTAAAGCACCCAACTACTCTCTCAAGCTAGAGGGATTACTTGAATTATGAATACAACCTACTCTCGTGGTTACAAAGCATAAAACAAGTATTAAAGCATAATCACGATGACAAAAACATTCCCTTGACTGGAAATTCCTATTCTCATGGTATTTCAAGTCAATTAAGCATAAGGGAGCTAACTCAAGTTCATCTCTCGATCCTTCGTTGAGAAAGCTTAGATAATAGTTCTAGCAATGGCCATATACAAGAACTAAGCAATTAAACCACTTAAGCTCAACTAATTAATACCCAACAATTACCAAATTAACACATGCATCAAGTAATTAGTGACTACATTGAGGGTTTTACCCAAACCCTAGAAAATTAGACTACTCACAATCCATGGAGATTAAAGCAATTAAGGATTTCAAGTAACTCATGAACAAGAATTAACTAAAGATTAAGCTAAATAACAATCTAAGCATACAAGAATTAAGCAAGATAATTAACAATCAAAGCAATTAAAATGGAAGAGAAGAGTGAGAAAATGTTACTAGAAGCTTCAACTTGAATATCAATGGTGGAACTTGTCTTCTACAATGATTGAGAATGAAATTTCCAAGCTAATAATTATAATCTAACTAATGATTTGAGAATATTTGTGTTTCTACAATTGCAAACTAAGAGGAAGCACTAAAAACTTGGATGTCGTACAAATGAGCTCCCAAGGTTATTTATAAAGACCCCCAAATAAAAAGGACGGAGAAAACAAGAGTCGGGCACGGCTACAGGTCAGCACGGACGTGCTGAGGTTGGCACGGACGTGCAGCTATACCTGCACGGACGTGCTGAGATTGGCACGAGCGTGCACCTGGGAGGTAGAAGGTACTGTTTTAGTCAGGGCATCCCGCACGGACGTGCTGATATTGGCACGGGCGTGAACTTGAGAGGCAGAAGGATTAGTTTGGCTGAGCAACCTGCACGAACGTGCAGGATCAGGCACAGACGTGCTGAATATCCTGCACGGACGTGCAGGCCTTGAAAAAAGTAGGCAGTAGCTTCTGGTCGTGCTGGAACACTTCTGCACGGACGTGCCATACATTGCACGTCCATGCAGACTCTCTAAGGCCTCTATCTTCACTTTTCTTCGGTTTTGCTCCATTGTTTCGGCTTCTAACCACGGTTTATCATCCAAATGCCTCAAATGGTCGTCTTTGAACCTAAAAACCCGAAAAAAAAACACTAACAACCCGTGAAGCAAGGGATACAAAAAAGTTAAACAAAAATAGAGTAAAAGTGAACCAAAATGCCAATATACCAAGTAAACAAGGTTCGAAATCACTCTGAAATCGTATCAAATAACAAGTTATCAGCAGGAACGAGGTTTATGAGTTTTTCCCTAAAACTCATTGGCGACTCCTACTTGTTTCTTATATAAAAGCGTGATGATAAAATCAATTCTAATTCAAGGTCCCTCAAACAGTCAGGAATTCAAATCCTACTACACCTTAACAAGTGTAAAGTCCTAGGCTTTTAAGTGGCCAAGGGCATTTAAGGAGAGTACCCCTTATGACGGGATCACCCTCCTTACACCAGCGCACTGATGTTCAAGGCAGATTCTTTGATCTTTTTGACAAGAATCTTCTTCTATAAGAAATGAATGAAAAACTCAAGTATGAAAATATTATGGTTAATGTAGAACTGACTTAATACACTCTTGCCAATGCTGACTTTAAATCTTCAAGTTCCTCTTCTAAATCATTACCTAAATTTAATGAAGATTTTGAAAAATTAAAACACAATCTTGATGAGTTAAGAATTGAAAAGGCAAATTTAGAAAAGGGATTTGCAATCAGAAAAGAGAGAAGCACTGGTCAACTTGGCATACCTAAGTGGATTAAGAATTCTCAAACCAAAAGAACTGAAGGACTAGCTAGGATACATTCGATCTAAGCATAAAGGTAAAAAGAAATATGTTGATTTACATAGCTATAAGGTTTGTTCCTTTTGTGGAAAAACAGGTTACTTAGTGAATACTTGTTATAAGAAGGAACAATCTATTAATAAGAATGTTAAGCAACTTTGGGTTAGCAAATCTGACATTGCTTCAATGTCCAAGGAACCTAAGGAAACCTGTGTTCTTGAAACTAATCAATAAGTTCTTTTGCAGGTCCTAGTGAGGGGGAACAACACGTGGTACCTCAACAGCGGTTGTTCAAAGCATATGACAGGAGACAAATCAAAATTCCTCTCACTTGAGGCCTATTCTGGAGGAACTGTGACCTTTGGAGATAACAAGAAAGGAGAAGTTATTGCAAAAGGAAAAGTAGGAAGGTCAAGTTCCCATTCAATTGAAAATGTACTTTTAGTCGAGGGTTTGATGCACAATTTGCTGAGCGTATCACAATTTTGTGATAAAGAAAACTCTGTAAGTTTTACTTCTGATTCATGCAACATCATTAATGACAAAACAGGAAGGGTTGTTCTTGAAGGAACTATAAAAGGGAACACATATATTGTGGATCTCAATTATGTCCCAAGGAACAACCTTACATGTCTGAGTGCCATTAATAATGATCTTTTATTATGGCATAAGCGTTTTGGACATGCTAGTTTCTCACTCATGGATAAACTTAGAGTGAGGAACTTGGTCATAGGGCTTCCCTCAGTCAAGTTCCTCATACAACATATATGTGATGCATGTGTGAGAGGTAAGCAAGTCAGGTCATCTTTTAAAAGTAAAAACATGG